TGCTGAATTTGGCTTCCCATAAGTCTTGTTTCTCCAATGGAATTTCAAATTTTTACCTGTGGAAAAGAGGGCAGAAGAGGCCACCAGGGCAGCAGGAGTCTTTGTAGCAATAATCTTTGATCAGCTAGGGCAGATGAAGGCAGACTTGGAGAGCCCAAAGTAGAGATTGTTTCGGGGGGAATTTTGATGAGCGGTTTTGCAAAGGGACTAAATCCTGGAGGATCCCAGCTGGTGGAACGTGAGAGCGGGTGTGGGATTTGTAGAAGGGAACCTGCAAGCAATCTTGAACATCCTTGAAGGAAGGGCTGGGAATAGGGGGAAATCCTCTGTCGAGGCTCAGCTGGGTAAAATCTATGATGTGGGGAAGGGGTTGTCTAGAGAAACTGTCTCAGAGACAAATCAGAGAGACGACTTCAGGTGACAAATCTCATTGAAAAAGCAATCCCATGGATAAAGTTTGAGGAAAAATAAACAGATAATGGAAGCAGTCAAGCTGCCCACAGGAAGATAGAAGGAAAAAATCTGGCAGGTTGTATCCATTGCTGAGAAAGAAGCCTTTCCTTTGGCCGGGATTAAACCTCTCAACTCATTTTAAAATGTGGCTTAGAGGTTGATCTGAATAGAGGTGAGAGTCATTTCTGTCCATATGCTTTGTGTTGTGAGACCCATCCTACTGTTCAATGTGGTGTCATTTTAAAGGAGTGATGGGGGAGTTGTGGAGCCCTGGATGTGGATCTCACTGAGGGAACATCTCAGCACAGGGCTAGACATCATGGTAAGAAAGCAACTCTGTTGATGAAGGAAGCCGTAAAAGATGTTTAAAACTCAAAAGTATTGAAAAAGGTGGAAGCATAAGGGCAGAAACAAAGATCGCATGGAAGTTTAAGCGAAAGGGCAACTGACAGGTGTAAAAGAAAATCTTTAACACAAGGGGCCAAAATCAGGCAGACTAGCAATCAAAATGTGTTTAAGAAATAGAGTTTATAAAAAATATGCTAATAAAATGTGTAAAGATTATGGGGAACAGAAGGAATCCCATACAGGAAATACAGTAAGTGTGAAGAATTACCTTTGTCCATGGTTTAATCACTTCATCTGATGCCTACTGGAAGAAGAAGCACCGTAATTTTTAGATACATTATCCACGTTGGTTAGCAGTATTATATTCAGGGAAATGTAGTCAAAGAGATGCTTACATCATTTATTTTTACAATTTGACTACTGTATTTTGCTGTTTATGGTTCTGTCTCAAACATGGTATTTTGCAGATTATTGTTGAGAAAAGCAGAAAGATGAAGGTCCATTACAGTGGCAGGTTAAATGTTTGGGATGTGGGAAGAAGGCCATTAGGCTTTCGATGCCGTCATATATTACAGGCAGGGTAACTGTGGTTGATGAGCACCATTTTCAAACATTTTTATGAAGGTGCTCATATCCTAGAAAAGCTTTTAAAACCTTGCTTATGCTTATAACTCACTGAGTTGCCCTGAGAGCTGTACCCTGGGTATGCAGCCTGCTCTGGGATGCAGATAGCCTCTGTTGTGAGGATGGCCCAGGTACCCAGCTGGGGGGTCCGAGGAACAGCCAGATATGAAAACTGCCCTCCCCTAGCCAGCAGGAAGGGGGGAGGAGGAAGAAGAGTTACATGTTGACCTTGACATCAGGCAGGGAAGATCTCTTTTATATGGAAGTTTTCCTGGAGTGGTTCAAATTTATGGCCAGGTGAAAATTACGACGATAACCTATTTTGTGCCATTGTCGTGATATTTAAGACCCATTCTGGATTACTAAAGATTCTGAAAATTTATGCAGTGTATAAATGAGCTGAGGTAGTAAGTATGAAGTGAAACTTGACAGTTTTCAGGAGAAACCTGAATGTTGAAATCCTGATAGTTATATAGTCCCTGAGCTACACATTATTTTCTGCTCCCATTCTTTTTTTGAGAATCACTCCCAGCCCACCAAGATTGGGCCATAAATCAGCACTGTCACTTACTTCAAAATTTTTACAGCCATTGCTTGCCCAGTTTCAGATCAATTGCGCATGTGTCCCCCAAATTTTTTTCTGGTGGGTTGAAGAGGGTTCTTGGCACCCTGGCTCCCTCGCCTTGACTCCTCCCGTTTGTGTGTGTGTGACTGCAGGTCCGTGGTTGCAGACCATTCAGGATGCTGGTGTGAATGAGCAGTGCAGCAACATCCTCAACAACAAGCGGTTTATGCTGGACATGTTGTATGCGCATAACAAAAAGCCCAAGGATGAAGAGGAGAAGGAGCTGGAGGCGAAGGAAGAAAAGAAGGAGACGGAGGAAAGCGAGGAGTCCCTCACTAGCCTAGCCAGTAGGATCTCTATCCTTCAGGCCACGAAACAGGCCATAGATGAAAGTGTCAAAAAGATGGAGATTGGAAATCTGGACAACCAAGGCAGCGTGAAAGCCTTTGCGGAAAAATTCAACAGTGGTGAGCTGGCCAAGGGGACAGCCATGCCTGAAGATGAAATTGGTGAACAGGTCCCTGAGAAAACACCAGCACAGCCAAAGAAGGAATCTGATTACATCTGGGATCAGCTCATGGCTAATCCTAGAGAACTTAAAATCAAAGACATGGATTTTACAGACTTGGGGGAGGAGGATGATGTAGATGTGTTGGACATGGATATGGGTCCTGGGGACTCCCTTGTTCCCCCTCCTCCACCTCCACCTTCTTTTCTGGGTTTGCCTCCTCCACCACCTCCCCCGCTGTTTGGATGTCCACCTCCACCTCCACCCTCTGCTAATTTATTGGCTCCTCCTCCGCTGTTCAGCACTCCTCAGGGTTTAGGGTCACCCCAGGTTTCCAGGGGTCAGCCAGCATTTATAAAGAAGAAGAAAACCATCCGTCTGTTTTGGAATGAGGTACGGCCATTTGAGTGGCAGTGTAAAAACAACAAACGCTGCAGAGAATTCCTGTGGTCGAAACTGGAACCCATTAAGGTGGACACTTCCAAACTGGAGCATCTCTTTGAGTCTAAATCCAAGGAACTGCCTGTCACGAAGGTACAACTCATATTCAGCTTGCTATTATTTTGCTATTGTATTGTTATTCATTCTGACTTAGACCTAGGTGATTTATGTTGTTTATATAAGACAGTGGAAATCACTGGATGTGTTTCTAGCTTGGGTTATGACGGAAGATATTCCATGGCCTGAAACTGGGAGATGTAGCTAGAGTGTTGTACGTGCCAAGCTGTCCTCTTATCTCAGGTCTACCAGTTTCGGGATATCCCTTCAGGTGGGGAATACTGACAAATTTTACATTAGGTTGTTTGTAGTTGAGTGCCAAGCTAGGTATTGAAATCTGAATGTTTTCTGTCACAATAATATAAAGGTCACCATGTGATGATTGATATCTGTGTATTTGACAGTTCTTCACTTGGTAATGTCTTCCTAATCGTTATGTAGAAGGCTTAGAATCTCAAACTGGTTCCACTGGAAAAAGCCTACATGTGTGCTTTGTTCTGAAGGATCAGTTTAGCAGCTGGACCAAGCTTACAGCTAAACTCTGCAGTGGTGTTGGGTTTTTGCTTTATACTGGTGAACAGGCCTATTTTAAATCCTTCATTTGTACAATGTGGCTCTCCAAATCTTAGGATGGAAGCTGGCACAGGAAATACCTCTGTGGCTAGGATTCCCTCTTCCTTAGGAGTATTGTTATAAAGCAAATAAAGGCTGGTGACATGGCTATTACACTCAACAACAAAGGGAATTCTTTTATAGTTAAATTTAGTAGGAATTTGAGGTCTCGTTAAAAAAGTTATTAGCGCAAACATTTGCTTTTCATGGCTGCATAAACTCTTTTTCTTCTCTAAGCAGAATAATCGGTATCAGAGAAACAATGTTTTTTTCCAGTTAAAATGCTAGTAAAATAAGTCAATCTCTCCTACTTAAATAATCACTTGTATGTTTTCTCTGTATGCCTATATGTTTTATAGTGACATTAAAACCAATCAATACCTTGAATATTTTACTTCACTTTGGCTGGAAAAAGTTGTTATACATATTATGTATCATATACATTATTGTTTGCTCTTAACCTGAGGGGACTGGATGTCTCACGGTAAAAGTACTCCGTGTCACTTGTCTGGGTTATTAACTAAAAATTTTCTAATTTTTGGTCTTCTTGGCCAAGTGGAAACATTTCAATTTGAACAGTCAAGCCCCTCATTAAGTACCTGGCAGACAACAGGTACATAGTACATGGCTCGTGTAGATCCTGCCTTCGCTGTTCTGAGCTGAATTTTTTTGCGACACGGAGGCATGCAGATCTGAAATGTACAGTGTAGCAGTTCTAAAACCACATTCGGCTGATTGTTCATTTGGCCAACGCTGAAATTAATTTCTTTCTCTAATTTCTTTTCTGCTGAGGAAGGAATGCTGGTGACGTCATGGTGTGTTACTCCTCATCTCTCTCCCTGTAAATACAAATCTGCCACAGATGGTTCATAGATGGAAGGAATGAGACCATTTTCTTTTATCCATTTAATTCCTCTAATTGAATGTGGAATTATGACATATATGCTATTTCCAAACTTTAGTTTTGTGCTAAATGCCAGTATTCTAATGGATCAATCTGGCTGATTCTTAATCTTTTATTCTCACCCAATATTTTTGATAAATTGTTAAAATGTTGGAAGTTTGACTGGTTTACTTTCCAGTCATTCACCGTGCACATTCCCAAACTTACCTTTGGCCATTTTCCCCCCTTCCTCTCACGCTTGCTTCCCAAACCTGCCTGGGCTGCCTTATGCTTTGGCACAGCTTTTGTCTTCTGGCTGGAAGATGAGTGAGCAGGTTTCTTTGAAATAAGTGCTAGTCTGAGGAATGATTTAGGTGACTGCTTTCCTCTTGGAGGCTAAGAACTGCTCTCTGCATGAGACGTTATACTTTTGGCTGTCTTTCTACACTGTCCCGTAACACAGACAGAGAAGTGTCATTGTCTCTGTAGAGAAGACAATGGTGACCAAGGATTGCCATAGTGGAGGGTCTGCTCAGACTTCTGAGGCTCCTGTGTGGTTTTGGTGAGTACCAGCAAATCTTCCAGGATAGGAGATGGTCCTTGGATCGAGTGAGAGTGGGAATAATTAAGCAATCCACCAAAACTGTAAAAGACTTGAGGTTTGGTACAAAGATTGCACTCAAATTAGGATAGTTCTCGCTTTTTCCAGACTGCTTGGTGTATTTCCAGGGAGTACATTCCCCGTTGTGTCTAGTGTCTCGTGTCCAATGGCTGCAATCCAAAACAGGTTTATTCTATAATATCGTAAAGTCTGACTCACAGCTGAGTTGGTTCAGCTGAAGAAAAGAGCACAGAGCAACAAATCAAAAGTCAAATCTCCAGATTTCACTGCAGTAGATGGAAGCAGGTGCATGGAAAAGGAACAGTCCAGAAGGACGAGAAAAGCAAAGTCAGGGGGGATGTGTAGGGGTTGCTTGCCTCTCTCTTACGCATATGCTCTTTCATACAGCTGTAACCAATTTTACTCCAGTTTCTAATCCTTCACTGTGATTTCCACAACACACAGCTATAAACAGCTACTTCCTGGCTCATGAGAAGTTTTTCATTAAACACAATAGACTGCAATAAAATAAAGTGGATTTTAAATTGTAGGATATAATATAGGAGTCAGGTTGGGGGAGAGGCTGAGAAGGGAGATTCCTGAGTTTAGGAAAACTTATGCCACACTAGACAGCTGAGACGCTGATTATAGTTAATGGTGCACCTTTAGTTGCTGCAGGGTGTTTATTTTCTGGACTAGAGGACCACAACATTCTGTTTGAGAATAGAGCGATCAGGTGTCCTCTCTAAGCCAGTCCAGAATTTTTTTCCTTCTCACTCTGCCAAACAAAGCAGGTATTTTGGCAAAGTAGTTGAAAGTGTTTATTTTTCTGTGAAGAGTAATGAAAACACGCAGACGCTACTGAATCAGACGGAGGTGTTCAGCCCTTCTGCCATCCACTTGGTTCTTGCGTGTCATTTGGAAGTATTATTCTGCTGATTCATCTGTTCCCTGTGGGACACAGTGATCCATCATGTGCCCACAGACACACAAACTAGTAGGAGTGAAAAATTAAGGAATGTGTTTTCACATACACGTGTATATACTTGCCTAGACACATATTCCTTTTGAAAACATTTGTTGCAATCTGAGTAAATGCCAAGCAACTTATAAATGTGGACCAGAATCTCTGGAAAAGATTATATACATCCAACCTGGACAAAGGCAGTAGCAGCTGAGTGATTCTGCTTTAAATCCTCATTGCTAAATCCTTCCTAATTGAGACAGAAATAAGAACATTTACCATCTCGCTATTCAGAGGTTGCCCTTCTTTCTCTGTATTACTGGTGCATTTTAAATGCAGGATATATTTCTGACTTGATGCTCGTATATAATTAGTTATTTATATGACTACTGGAAAAATTATTTAAATTTTTCTGGTTCCCATATTAATTAAAGCAAAGTAGCATGTTTTAGACCATGTGCTCATCAGGCTACAGATCACCCACCTTGTGTGGGACGGCAATGGTTTTTGACTAACCTATCTTAACCACCCAGCCTTCAATAAAGGCAACAGAAGCTGGCCAGTTAGGTCTTGTGAAGATCTAAATTCACTGCAATTGTTAATACATTGCAAGAATATTAGTTTCCCACAAATTACACCACCTGATATATTTGTATTTGATAGTTAATTTAGTATTTTTATTTAATAACACAATATTCAGCAATTCAGGGCTTGTGTTACATACTGACACATTAAAATATAAAATCAAGTGCACTGGTGCGCTGTTCCCTCAAGCATTTTAAATCGTTGTCTGTTAATGAACTTATAAAACAGAGTCTGAAGTCACCTAATATTGTAATAGAAGTTAACAGTTGTAGCTTAGTTTAACAGTCAGGCACTTACACACCTGCAATTTTATTACAGAAAAAGAGGAATTCTTTTCCTAGTGGTAGGGTAATAAAGTTCATACTAGCAAAATCTTTCTCTTTTTTTTTTTTCATCCTTTTATTTATTTGGTAAGGATTTCTTTGTAACTTAGCCGTCGTCCCCAGAATGAATTGAAAAGCTCTTCTGCCCCTGTTTTTGAAAAGAGTTACTTACCCCAAACTTTTATGCCCCATGTGCAGTTATAGGTCTGGAAAATACCTACGTGCTTACATCCCCTGTGGAGCTCATCTGTCTTTCATTGCGAAGGAGCGAGCGCACTGCTGCCATCACAGCCATCCCGGCGGTTAGCATCATCTGCCCCTCAAATGAATATGTCTCTCTTGTCAAACTTAGGAGCCTAAAACCAGAGCTGCAGATCTGCGGCTTACTGACCCACGCCGCATGCGGGAAGCCTAAATTTAACTCCTTTCCCCCAGCATTTGCCCTTCTGCATAAATCCTCTGGAGCCGCGTGTGTAATTCTGTGCGGCGAAGGTGAAAAGCAGTTGTTTAAAAAAGGCTTAGTGTGATACAGATGCGCGAGGAAGCAGTCTCTGGTGAACTCTGCTTGTTTTTATGTGGGCTCGGCCACGAATTGGGGTCCTGAAAATGTTGATTAATGGCCCTGGAAGTAAAAATGACTGCTTTGAAGGAGAAGCTGCATCTTCAATCCTTCAGGTAGCTCCCCCCACCACCACCAAAAAATGACTCTTACTCCAAAAGAGGAAAGTTCACAAGGCCTTCAGGGTTGCTTTTAAGGTATTAAGAGAGCTGTCCTGACAGAATAGACATACAGAAGTATTTTTAAATGTTATCTTTGCTCTCCTAAAATTTATCCTGTTTACTGCAAAAGTGTTGTTTTTTATTAAGCTTCAAAAAAACCCCAACCTTCTCATTACTTTCACAGTTGCGTCATACCACGTTAATCACGCTGGTATGGTGGAAGGGCTGTGGTGCCACACGGGTGCTGTTCAGGCCGCGGGGCCCGGTGGCCATACCCCTCCCTGTGCAGGGAAGGAGCTGAGCTGTGCCAGCAAAAGGCATCTTTGTAACGTTGCAACTGCATTCCCATTATGGGCTGACCCACAGCCGGACATACTTTGACAAAATCATATTTATTAATCTAGACAGCTCTTCCAATGCAGAATCAGCGTGTAGACCTGGCAGTAGGGCGTTTTTTGACTCCGTGGGGGCTGTGGTGCAAACCCAAAGGAAGCAGAGGACAAAGCTTTGTGGTCTAAAAAGCAATACTGAACACAGATGAAATCTGGGGCAGTAAGAGTCTCCTCCTGGGCTTCCCCCAAATCCACAAGAGATGCAAGAAGCCCTACTGCTGTAGGCCACTCGGATGATTCTCTGTTCTGAACAGTTGTACGGGCTGTCACTTTGCAGACTGGAAAGAGGGATTGCTTCGTCTGTCTCCTGCCCTTTTGAGGTGCCTCTGTGCTAAGGCTGCTGCTGCCAAGGCCACTAACCACAGTCCAGGTAATGGGCCCTACAGGGAGGTCACAGCCACGTCTCTGCAGCCTGTGCCTTGCTGAGTGAAACATGGTTTTATACACAGCAAAGCATGTCTGTGCTTGCTTCCATCAATGTGATGGTCTTCTCTCTATGCTCCTGTGCTTGACAGCATCCCTCAGCACATCTCTGAAAGGGTAAAGGGATGGGAAATGGAGGAAACATGTTTTCAAAGTCCATGTCCTTTGAGATGGAGGAAAAATCCCTGTGTATGAGGAGCAGTGTCCTCTCCTCTTGCAGCTGCCTGGTATATGACCTATGTAGTTGCCAAAAAGACACCTTCTAGCATGGGACAGTGAGAGAATGAGAGGCGTGCTGGGCTGTAAAAGCAAAGACCACGTTCAACACTGTATTATACCATATAAATGGTTTGTGAGTCACTGCCTAGTTAGCTTGCATTTTGCCACTATGAGAATGGGGAGAGAGAGGAATAATTTTCTTGGGTTTCCTCTAGAATGTAATTTAAAGTGTATGTTGTTATTTCTTTGTGCTTTCGTAATCATTTACACTGTAGTTTTTACTGGAGGTAAGATTCGAAGACTATGTCTGGTCTCAAATAAAGCTTTGAAAAGAGGTTGAAGTAGTTCTGCACCTGTGAAGGGCTTGATGGGACATATCAGGAGCAGGTAGGATACCCTTCCTGTGACAGCCAGAGGTCAAAAAAACATGCAAGTGTCTCTAGATAGGCCTCTACAGCTCCTTTGCTAGTTCCCAAGTTGTATTTGTAACAAGGAGAATGATGGCACGCAGGTGGGAAACACCCTGACCATTTCCCAGCTAGCCATGCGGGTGAGACAGGGTTGGTGGCCACTCTGGGTTGATGTACTCAAGGGGAACTTGAGCCCCGGAGCCCATCAGCTGCCGGCTGCTGCCCTGCTAGCCCTACACCAGCCAGTCCTGCCTCACAGTAGAGCTGTCACCTGTCAGAGACAGCTTCAGGTTTCTTTCAGGCTGACTCCTGCCCCAAACTGCAGCATTCCCGAGCCCTCACAGGGAATCCTGTGTCTCAGGCTATTTCAGCTTTGCACAGCATCTGAGGCTGCTTTCAGCTCTCTGGCTAAATCCTGGCAGCTCATGATGATACCAGCAAGGATGTGGTAGAAGAATTTAGCTTTTTTGGATGACTATAAATACATTAGATTTGCATTCAGTGTCAGCAAAATCGAGCAGGGGAAGTCATTAGTGAATTGAGTGAATTTTTATTTACAAAACTGTAGAAATAATATTCTTATTCTCTTCTTTACCAAGAAAACTGCTGCAGATGGGAAGCGACAGGAGATCATTGTATTGGACTCAAAACGAAGCAACGCTATTAATATTGGCTTGACTGTGTTGCCCCCGCCCCGGACTATCAAGACTGCTATTTTGAACTTTGACGAATATGCCTTAAACAAGGAAGGAATAGAGGTAAGAAAGAGAAGTCATTGTCTTCAAATTTGCATTTTCAATGCTTCCTTTTTTTTTTTTTTTTTGATGTTGCATGTGGTATAGGTGAGACTTTTCATGGAGTAGGGAAAAGGGAATATATTATGTCATGACTGAGTTGAAACTCACCATGTCATTGTAATGTGCTCAGAGGTTGAGCATGCTCAGTAAACATGGATTTCTCTGCTTTCTTTGTGTCTAAGTTTGAGTAAGGATTGTGTTAATTCCTGACAAGATTTTCAGAGTATTTTCCACTCCCCTGGAGCTTGACTGAAATATTGTGAGCAGCAAGAATAGGCAGAGTTACTAGGGCTGATGCAACTGGTACAGGGTTTAATAAAGTTCATGCCCAGCTAGCTGTTGGAGTCATTCTAGATTGTATATCTAATGGAAAACAAATACAGTGATGAATTCTGCTCAAAATAGCATTTCTCTGTTACTGTTGTTTGAAGAAAAGCAGTTGGTATAAAGATTACAGATGATGTAATTTTTACCATTGCATGTTTCACTTTGCAGATATTCTTACCGAGATCCAAGATGAGCTCTGTTTTGGTTTTTTTTTTAATCAAAACATTTTTCTTCTAGGAAGTGTAAAAGAAACCTGGTGCTCCCCTGGTTTTTTTATATTGTGGTTGTATTCATTTCTTTTTCCTTTTTTTTTTTTTTTAATAAGACTATATAACCTAGTAAAAGTAATCTGCACAACTACAAATCTCAACCAGTGGCTGAGCTGCAGAGGTCATGTATTGATTCACAGTTACCTTTCAGTGGTTTGGCACTGTATTTCGTGATTTTCCCCTTTCTACCTTCACTGTGCTGACTGCAGAAGAAAATGAGAAAAGCTGGCTGGAATGGAAACAGAGTTGCCAACAGTTACATGCACAAGAAATACTTCAGGCAAAAGATCCTTCTAGCTAGAAGATGAGGCCTGGTTTATTCCTACTCGAATATAGTTTTTTCCCAAAGCTGTATTACTTATTTGCTATATAAACACCTTACTCATATTATTAAGGTGATAAATAAGGCTAAAAAAGTAATTTTTTGTGACCCAGACCCGGTACCCACCACTGCAGTTTGCAGTACTAAGCTTTAAAGTGTTGGAGAGAAGTAGCCCTCCAGCCAAGCCCAACTCACAGACTGCCGGTTAGACCTCAGTTCTGTAGGCAGCGTCTGCATACGAAGTCCAATTTAAAACTGCTGATAAAGATGAACACATCTTTATTATCCTCCATGTATCATCCCCTTTGAATTGTGTCCTTCTCTGGCACACTTGACAGGAGTTCAGCTGCTCTGTACAGCTCACCATTTCCAGTGCCAACATTTGTAGCTGGGCTGTCCATCTGCCGACCACCTGTGGTGCCCACAGTTGGGAGGGCCTTGTACCACCACACCCACCATTGGGTGGCATTTCCATTAGTTGCCAGAAACCCATAATTTCATTTAAAATACATATATGCAGGTGGCTTTCAATTTGAAGAATGCAGAAACCAGGAAATAATACGCTGTGGTATACTTGCACCATGCTAAAGAAAATGGGATTTGTGAGTTCTGTGTCCACAGCTTTGAAGCTAAGGATGTGAGTAATCCTGATGTGATCATTCAAATATTTAAAATCAAGGGAAAGGGAATAAGCTGAACGTGAGCCAGCAGTGTGCCCAGGTGTCCAACTAGGCCAACAGCATCCTGGCCTGCATCAGGAACAGCTTGGCCAGCAGAATCAGGGAAGTGATTGTCCCCCTGTACTGGGCACTGGTGAGGCCGCACCTCGAATCCTGCGTTCAGTTTTGGGCCCCTCACTACAAGACAGACATAGAGATGCTGGAGTGTGTCCAGAGAAGGGCGACAAAGCTGGGGAAGGGTCTGGAGCACAAGTCCTGTGAGGAGCGGCTGAGGGAGCTGGGGGTGTTTAGCCTGGAGAAGAGGAGGCTGAGGGGAGACCTTATCGCTGTCTACAACTACCCGAAAGGATGTTGCAGAGAGGTGGGTGTTGGTCTCTTCTCCCAAGTGACAAGTGATAGGACAAGAGGAAAAAGCCTCAAGTTGTGCCGGGGAGGTTTAGATTGGATATGAGGAAAAATTTCTTCACTGAAATGTTTGTCAGGCACTGGAACAGGCTGCCCAGGGAAGTGCCTGAGTCGCCATCCCTGGAGGTATTTAAGAGACGTGTAGACGTGGTGCTCAGGGACGTGGTTTAGTGGTGGACTTGGCAGTGCTGGGTTAATGGTTGGACTTGATCCTAGAGGTCTTTTCAAACCTAAATGATTCTATGGAGCAGAGCACAGTTACTTTGCACTTTGAGGGATCAAGGCTTTATTGGTTGGGAAGGATGACGTTCATGGAGAAAAGAGAGATTTATTTACTTCTTATCAAGTAAAACACAACACTGAATTCAGTTTTGCTTCCCCAATCCCGAGTTTACAGATTTTTCTAATAGCATGTTACAAAGTCATACAAACATTTAAGCGAAATAAAGGGCTGGATTAAGCCATGCATAATTTGCAAAAAGGTGCAGAGAGAGATACAGAAATGCATCATGTGAGTGCCACTGTTTTCAGCAGAGCCCTGCCTCAATTTTCCATACCGTTCCTTTGGTCTGCAGTGTAGACAAGCGTTGTTTCCTGTTTCTCTTCTCTTCTGTATCCATCTGTTCACTGGCTTTAGCCTTACAGTTAGCTTAGAAGGAACAAGGGTTGTCTTTTCAGTCTAGATTTGTAGAAAGTTTTCTGGTCCATATCAGCAGTTCTTAAACATTAGGAAATAATTGGTAGTGATGATGAATAAATCAGTAATAATGTAAGCATCAGCTTCATTTATATAAAAATGCAGAGAATAAAGCAAATTATTTGCTACATAATATACTTTATGGGTAATCTAGTAGTTGAATAAGGTAGGACTGGTATGAGAAAAAATTATTCAATTGGTCTAATTAAAAAGCTACACCACAGTGGGTACTCAAAAGTCTTTCTGCATAGTTATTTGTCTAGAAGAGCTCTGACAGCTGGTAGGCAGAAGAGAGAGATGTAAGGAGGGCAGAAGAGATGTGTTGTGTGCAGTGAGGACATACCATTCACTGCTAAAATTTCAGAGAAACTGTAATTTAGGATCTTCTTCAGCTTCTAAGGAATCCAGCACGGAGCAGGACACCACCAGGTTACCAAGTCACCTGAGCCATCCCTTGCCTTGGCTGTGAGCTCTGTGCTATGTCACCCCTGCAAGGAGCATTGTCATTGTCGTGTTAGTGTGCATGTGGCCTTATTTCTGCACCTTGGTGGATAAGTTCAGTCTAAATGGTATCGTAAAGCTGACCTCAGCAGTCCTTTTAAGAACTGGGCTACAGTAGTGCTGACAGTAGTGCTAGCAAACAAGGCAGTGATGCAGTGGGATGCAGGCTACAAGTCTGTGATAGCCCAGCTTATCACTGAGTTCATAGCGACCCAAGTATGCTCTCCACTACTGTCCTACATTTTGCTGAATGCTGCTTTTCTTGTGCCATTTAGCTCTTGTTAGTTATCCATGCTTTGCTTTTTAACTTCAAATATGTAACTAACCTAGGAGATAAAATTCTCCAGGTATTTTTAAAGCCTTCTATACCTAAGTATGTTGCATATTTTAGGCCATGTGTTTGAAGTGGTTAGGTACCCTGAGCTGGGAAAAAAGATAGAAAATGGGGCATGATGCTAGTAAGGCAGATGTAGTCCATTTAGTATGCAGAGCAGGCACTGGTACAAACATATTTTCAAAGGAAGGCACAATGTGTGTCTGCAAGCATGCCTCAGTCCAACTAAAAAAATTTTGCCACCTTATGTTTGCCAAAGTGGTTGTGTTTTCCTTTCTTTGAAAGCTTGGCATTCATTGTGTTCAAACAACTTGGAACTTGCTGCGGGATAAAGAACTGCCTCCTTAGTATGGATCAGGGCTTTCTGTGAGCTAAGCAAAACAGGCAAGCTTAAAATCCTGGCACTTAATCTTAATGAAGCGTGTCGTGGGCAACTGCAAGTATAGAGTCCACCAAACCAGTCCTTGGTGTTTGTCTTTAGCAAAGGAAATGATCAAGTCCTTCCGTAAAAGTGCTACTCAGTAAGGGAACGTGGATCAAAATCAAATTATACCAAAGAGTATGATTAATTTAGCAGAGTAAAATTGGAGTAATGTTGTGAGGAAATTAAGGTGGCTTGCTGCATGCTTTTCAACATAGCTTTGCAATGCTACACCATATTGGATTGCATTGGTAGGTATAGGTTTTAGTAAAACTATTTGAAATTAAAAAACTCTCCGGGTACGCTAGGCCCTCCACATTTCTTAATTACTTGGAAATGCACGTGTCAGGAGTGGCTAAGTAGCCCTGAGATGTAAAAAGAGCTAAGAAATGAGAGCCTGGTGTTAAAAAGGCAGATGGTGACATGTATAAATAAAGACAAAATTTCATATTCAGAAACGATCAAGGAATTTAAGTTTTTGTTCTGAAAGTTGCCACAGTATGTTGGCATTTGCAGTTTCCAATCTGTTTAGCTAATGCTTTGTAAAAGTGTAATGGGATGTTTCAAATTAGCTAGCTCACATGACCTGAAAGAACAAACTCCCCTTCTCACAAGTCTAGACAGAAGAGAGAACAGGCTCAATGGTGTTTTACTGGCCGTACACCCACAGTCAGAATATCGCTGCCCTAATGAGTTTCAGACTTTATTTAATTTTAAAAAAGCTACATTTTCACTCTTTGTAGCAAACAAAAACATCTACAGTTTCTGTGACCAGCAATGGCATGTTCATGTATTTCAGCAGAGAGCCAAGGAAGTGGAGCGGTCTGATTGAGGCAGCAGCTGTCAGTTCCTGATTTACAGGGATGACTGTCAGGCATAGTCCCTTCTCAGAACTGGATCATTTCTGGAAAAGTTGAAATAGAATTAGTACAGGTGGCCTCACTTACTTTGGAGTCCTGACCTTCATATGCTTTTATGTACTTTGGTAGGGTTTCTGCAGGTAATGCAAACCACCGGTGTCTCTCATCAATAGCTGCCTGGAGAGCTGAAGTGTGAGAGCCTTTTTGGAGCTGAATCATCTGCCGAGGCCTGTCAAATGTCTGATAAAATATCCACTAATGTGTATTTGGTTATGCAGCTCACAAATTTGTGGCCCTCAAGCCTCAGAAAGCTTTGGACCCAACAACAACCACATATTTAGTTTACTAATTGTTTTCAGGCTACTATTTACCTGTAAAATCAGCTGAAACCAAATATGAAAGCCAAGGCATCCCTGCAACTTCATTATCATGGAGAAGCCCCATTATCTCTTGAAAGAGAGAGCATAGACACCTAAGGCTCCACAAAGGCTCTAGGCTATTCACAGTCTCTGGTTAGGTGCTTCCTTGCATCCTACAATAAGGCCAGCAGTCCTGATGCCTATGGGGGTTATAAATTTTGCCCTGTGAGCCATGTAAGGCTTTCCTATTGGAAATCTTTGGAAATCGTAGGTCAGGTTGGCTGAATCCAGGAAATAAACAGTTTGATCCCTTTGCTGAAAGTTCAAACAAGTGTCTGGATCCAGCAGTCCTGGAACAGAATAACCAGCATCCATTGTTCATGCAAATAGGATCTCCCAAAATTACTTCTTTTTCTCCATTAAAAGATTAGTATACTGGTTTTCCTCTGAATGTTAGTCTCTGGCCCAAATAGTTGTGTGAGAACAACAGGGAACAATATTGTGTGCAGGGAGGTGACATACATGTATCACACACAGGATACGAGCATAGGGTTTGTTGATAACCAATTCTTCTTTAATGGACCTGAAGAGTGTCATACTAGGGAGAGCATTATTAGCTAATGTTTAGGTTCAAAGCTATTTGTGATTCAGTGCTCACATCAATTGCCAGTAACTTTCTGCCCCGCTCTGTTTTTACACTACTTTTACTGTCAGGGATGCTTTAAAAAATCATAATAATAAAAATCATAATAATCTGGCAGATGGTGTACTCATCTGTTGCCAGTGCTGAACAAATGGCTCAAATTAGTCATAGAGTGGAAATCAGGAATAGGAGCATTTTACCATTTGCTCAGGGGCACACCAAGACAGTGCCCCACCGGTCAGAACAATTTGCATAGGCAGGTTAGAAGTGTCGATGAGTAAGTCATCATTACGGGGGCAGTTGCACCCTGGATGGTATGAGACCTGCCAGCAGGTCTGGTCCCACCGAGGCAGGGCTGTCAGCAGCAGGGGCGATCCTTGGCAGCTGGCACCACGCGGACAGGCTCTTTGGCTTGGTGTTCTCCTTTCCACGTCATATGGCATGCAGCACGGCAGCCTTGAGGTACTTAGGCTCGAATGCTTTTTGTCAGCTCCATCTGGCTTCTGGTGTTTACATAAAGCTCAAGAAGGAGGAGAGTCCCTTTGGAAATAAAGCTTACTGTTTCATTGCTCTCTTTAAAATGCCCGAAAGCAGTGCAGACTCTCTGGAGTGAAGGGCCCTGCACCACCACAACATATTTGTGGGATCCCTGGGTAGCTGCCACAAGCCCTAGTTATTTGTAGGAGGCAGTTGAGAATTCTGCTGAAGTGTTAGCCTTCAAAAATGCATCAGAAGCCTTTTTGCATCCATCACATGGCTACTGCTAAACTCTCCATGTATGGTTGTTCATATGATCCTATTTGCAAGCTGCCCTGGCTCAGCTTGTGGGGGTGTGGGCTTCTCCTTGTTGAAGAGAGGAGTAGGCACTAGGAGACCTGACTTCTTCGAAGGACACTCTGAGGAACACCTCTTATGAGTTTCAGACTGAGTCTCTCTCTTTTATGAATTCCTTTAGATGAGTATTGGTGAAGCACTGAGAAATGCCCTGAAACAGCTACTTACAAATCCCTAGTTTGATGTTAGGTCTGACATAAATTACAGATTTTGGGATGGATGGATAGCACATCTCAAAATCAATACACAAATGGTATGAATTGGAACAAACGTACATCAGAGTATTTTCCAAACAGTCATTGACATGAGAAGGAAAAGCACCAGCGTATATTGAGGGATTTTCCTCCTCTTCTTTTTTCCTGTACATATTAATTTATTGAGGTAGAAGCTTGCAGTCTCCAAGCAAGGAGGCTTTTTTAAATTTTGTTTAACCTGCCCCTGTACTCTGCTCTGGTGCGACCCCACCTGGAGTGCTGCGTCCAGCTGTGGAGCCCTCAACATCAGAAGGATATTGACCACTTGGAGCGAGTCCAGAGGAGGCCACGAAGATGCTCAGAGGGCTGGAGCACCTCTCCTATGGGGACAGGCTGCGAGAACTGGGCTTGTTCAGCCTGGAGAAGAGGAGGCTCCGAGGAGACCTCATTGCAGCTTTCCAGTATCTGAAGGGGACCTACAAGGGTACTGGGAGAGGACTTTTTACAAGAGCCTGTAGTGACAGGACAAGCGGTAATGGGTATAAATTGAAATCAGGGAGGTTTAGATTAGATGTCAGGAAGAAGTTCTTCACAGAGAGGGTGGTGAGGCGCTGGAACAGGTTGCCCAGAGAAGCTGTGGATGCCCCATCCCTGGAAGTGTTCAAGGCCAGGCTGGATGTGGCTTTGAGCAACCTGGTCTAGTGGAAGGTGTCCCTGCCCATGGCAGGGGGGTTGGAACTAGATGATCTTTAAGGTCCCTTCCAGCCCAAACCATTCTATGATTCTATGATTCTATGAAAGGCAGAGGCAACATTAGCGGGAAGAAATGCTGCTTTATTTATGTTTATGGAAGCCAGCATAAGACGGACAGCAATACAAATGCTGTGGCTGAAATCAGGTAAGTCCCAGTTCAACAGATTGAACATTATTTGCTTGCTTAACTCTTGTTCTTCGCCTGGTTGACCAGAAAAAGTCCCTTGCTCTCAACACTTTCCTCCAGTGCTGTACAAGGAGCCAGATGGATTATCAGGACTGGAAGGGGACAGTTGTGCTACTTTGATGAACTGGCTATGTCCAGCACTGGAACAAGGCTGTAGTTTGGACTGGCAGGTCTGATAGCTTTTTGGCTGTGTATTTATTATTCTCTCCTCCCCTCCAGAACAGCCTCTATCATTACAGAACACTACAGCAAAAACATGTCATTCCTCAGATGAATAACTGTAAATTGTGTTGAAAATCTAATTGATCAGCAGGGTAAAGACCTCAACTTATCTGATACCTTTGTGTTGTTTTGCTTTTCTTTTTCATTTTAAAATGCATTTAGTATGTGAAAAACTAATTAAGAAGCAATACCTTAGAAAGCAATGCGTTGAGAAATAAAGCTGCCATATGTGAACAAGAGTGTAAAATCCAAGAATTAAAGGGAAAATATAAATGTTTTGAGCTATACTGACAGCTGAAACTGAAAATACTGAGATCCTTTTTTTGTCAACATTTTAGACTTTTCAGATCAAAAGAGGAAAAGGCGATATGTTATGCAATGCATGATACAACTTCAAATTCAATGCGTGTTCCTTGGGAAGTTGTCCTCAGTTCAAGTGAAATTTCTGTGAGCGGCCTAATAGGCTGCAATAGTTGTCATGTTTCATAAAAAACCAAAACAGACTGAACAAAAATTAATAATTTCTGAGAACAGCAAGGGACAGGAGTTCTCAAGTTATCCCTATATACCTACAAGTGCAAAGGAAGATTGGATTTTTGTAGATGTGGAGGCTAAAAGGGACCTGCTATGTAGTCTGACCTGTTGTAAATCACAGGCCAAAAGATTTCACTCATTTTACTCTCACTTCCATATGTAATTTGCAGAAAGGTGGCCAGTTCTGATTTAAAGAGGTGAAAGCTGAGGAGAGCAGTCCTAACCAGTCTCCCTGTGTCTCCTTCAGTGTTTCATCCCACGGTTGGCCATATCTACTGAGTAGAAATTTTTTAAAAAAGCATTTTAATACACATGTGATTTTCCACAAACTGCAGACATTTGAGATAGCAGGCCTTGTTTTGCTTTCTTGTGCGGTGGATTCGTTGCTGGTTAAGACAGTGCTGTCCTTAATTACCAGGCAGGGATCTGAGGACTACTGTTGCTGCAGTGAAGTCACCCAACATCCAGCACTTGCGTGCCTGTGGCCCTGCTCCTGACAACTTTTGTCTCCCTTTGCAGAAAATTTTGACCATGATCCCAACCGAGGAGGAGAAGCAAAAGATCCAGGAGGCGCAGCTGGCAAACCCAGATGTCCCCCTGGGCAGTGCCGAGCAGTTCCTTCTCACCCTCTCTTCCATCAGCGAGCTCTCCGCCAGGCTCCAGCTCTGGGCTTTCAAGATGGACTACGAGATAGTGGAAAAGGTGAGGGACAAGCGGGGAGGCAGGGCTGGTGACTCTTCCGAGGCTTCGCTTAATCTTTCCCTGACTTTGTTATTATATGAGTGTATATTTTGAGGAAATGGTAAATGGGTCGCTTTTGTTTCGGTGGCCAACCAGGAAACAGCTAAAATGATCCTTCATAATATGTTCCTTCTATAAAAGAAAATTAGAGATTATGTCTTCCTTCCTTTAATTAGTCGGTAATGATATTGAAACAAAGAAGAGGGCTAAATCTTCTCCAGATGTTGTTATTCAGGAAATTCTTACTTCAGAGCAGTAAGAATTTTTCTTTGGATAAAGGCTGTATGAGGATGACCAGTATTCAGCCTTACATCATAAAATGAGAGTATTGATCTTACATCCATTTGAACTAAGAAAAACACCATCCATTAAAGTTTTTTTCTGTTTATAACTCTCTTTCAAAGTTATAAACAGAAGATAAGACATCCTTCAGGGGTGCTCTGTTCAGTCACAGAGAGTTGTTGCCACCTTCTTTGTGGATGGCATTTATTCAGAGAATATTGTAATTGTGTCATGAATGATGAATCACAGACAAAAACTTCGAAACGACAGCATGTAATTTTGGTGCCTAGGTGAAAGAGTGAAAATGTGTAGGCACTTTCAGCTACATGCTGACTTTCACAAGCTGTTTCAGGAAATTCAGCACAGGAACCTTCTTCTGGCTGCACTTCTGGTGCATACCCCATGCCTTGCTCTTCAAGCAGCTCTCTCCTATATGTATTAATCTTGTATGTGGATCTGTGTGCCTATTTGTATATTAAAAAAATGGTATAGCCCTGTGTGATGTGGAGTCTGAGAAGTGGGACATGCTTCTGAAAATGCCTTATGTTTATCTAACCATGGGTATTTAACAGGTTGCACAACAGTGGGTTGATTTGCAGATGATACTGTCCAGATTACTCAACCTCTTAGATTTAGGAAATGCAATCACACTAATATTCAGGATTTTTTAATTGTGACATTTTAGTCTTAAACATTTACATTTCTGACTTATAAAACATAAAATACTTGTATCTGACCTGAATACTTTTTTGGCAGGTTTTTTTTTTAGTTGGTTTTCTTTGGTTTTGGTTGGGGTTTTTTTTTGTGGGTTTTTGTTTTGTTTTGTTTTTTCACTTGGGTACAGCTATTTATTCTGCTTTTAAGTTACCACCACTAAATTGTTCCTTTCATGTAAGCTGAGTTAGCTGTAGCTGTTAATCTTAGTGTACACCTAGAATGTCTAACTTCCTCTCAATCAAAAAGCAACATCTGAAGCACTGCTAAAAACTGAAGAAATTCTGATAGCTTTCCTGTTGCTTTTCCTGTAATGTTTAGGTGACAAAGATAATAAATTGACAGCTAAAATCTGTGTAGAATGGATGGTAGTACCAAATATCTCAAATACCTAAATTACTCAAAGAAGCAATAGCTGGAGTGAGGATAGGATCAATATTTTTATTCCTGTTGAAAAGAAGATAGGCCTAAGTACACTACTTACCATAAATGGTACAGGAAATGACATGATGACATGATAAAATAAGAGGAACATGTGATAGGAAGACTAGCAGACGAGCCTAGATATGACAGAGTTGGGTGAAGAGGAAGATACGGGATGAGACTTCAGAAGTACACGATAGAGTGAGCAGTTGGGTCTCTCCAGTAATAAAAGGTTAAAGTCAGAGTTGAAGTTCCAGGTAGGCAATGGCCATAAGCATTATTTAGACTGAGATAAGATACCATGAACATGGACAATTAAAAAAATGAAGTCGTTTGCATTAATGATTATGATAATAAGAGTCCCATGACCTGCTAACATTCTTTTGTTCTTGGAACTATGTTTTTGCAGAAGATCCCTCTGCAAATGGGCAAACTCTTCATGACACTTAGGTGCCAGATCACTTACCTCCACAGTTCTTGTCATTTTTTTGCCCAGCATTTGCTTAGATTTTTTTTTTCAATTAGAAAAACACATAACATTTCAGAATGTACTCATATTATTTATATAAGAAACTAATTAACTTTACTGTTATTTCCATGAGGTTGGAAGTTTTAGATGGTCCATGATATGAACAGTGTGAAATACCGGAGTTGCTGATATAAGGCTGGGGTTCTCATTCATGAGGCACTTTTATGAATCAGCCGAGAACAGAGTTTTGCCTAAGTAGGTCTTGGCTCCATCTCTGACAATCTGAAAGAAAAATAGCATGAAATTGTTCAAGAAAAGGGATAAATGAGATATCGTTCATGTTTGTAGAACAGCTTTCCAGGCGTAATGAAGGAAGTCATCTTTCTTGGATTGAATTTAATTAACTAAAGCAAGTCACAAATGTAGGGAGCAGCCTCAGACTGTGAGGGGCTGAACTGGAAGAATGAATATTCATTCTTTGCTCTTTACAAAATAAAAAAGGAAAACCTTTCCAAATTATCGGTTTGATAACGTGTATGCTGTTCTGAAATTTTAACAGGTGTCTAAGGTACTGTATGCATATTGAAGGTCATCAGTGGAACAATAATTCTTCTCACCTTTCTTTTGGTACTATAGTTTAAAGGCGTAGACAAATGAGGTAGAGTTTCAACTTCAAATCACAGTTTTCTGGCTTTAGGTGAAAAGTAAAAACATGGTAAATAAGGATATGTGGTACCAAGGGATATGAAGTAGCTCTGTACTATGTATCTGCCCTATTTAGGTAGAAGGCAATTTTTATGGGAAACAAGAATCGGTATTTCATCTGATTATACAGTATCTAGCACACTGGTTTTTATTGGTTTTAATGCTACAATAAAATCTAAAAAAAAGAATAATTATAAATGGGTACTATATGCAAGAAAGTCTAAGCTTGGATAACTTGCATGTAAATAGCTGAATGAAGGGCTACAGTATGGCCTGCTTTGGAAGCCTTTTATGCTATTTTTTGTTCACTTCAGAGTGTTTGAAATTAACCTTGTAGGAATGATTTCTTAACAGGTTGCAAATTGATACAAGTAAAAAGCCTGTGTTTACAGAAGTTGCAGAGCACATTGATTCATCCCCATAATGCAACAAAACAAACTAAATCAACCCTGACTTTAAAGCAATTCAAATAAATTTGTGCAGCAGCTTATCGATTTTAGTTTAACTTGATAAAGTCTTGAATTATTTAGCACCACTCTTCTGATGTATAAATTACTTTGCAGACTATGCCATCTGTAATTTGTCATGAATTTGCCGTGTTCTTTTCAAGAGATGAATTGTTCTGTAGTGACTAGAAATGTATATTCCCTTCATCTTTGTGCTCATATTTATGGTAAAATATCACTACAGTTGTTGAATGACCTATTATATTTCTCCAAGACAGTGAAGTTCTCAACTATTTGCCTCTTGGTCTAAAATAACAGCTTAATTTTGGCTTCTTGGCTCATAGAGTGTAATAATTTGGGAAAAGAATGCGGCTCATGGATACTTAGGGTGGCATTTAGAGCTAGAAACAATGTGAACTGTTACTATGCATACAAAATAAATAACCCTGGGCCTCACACAAAGACACAGAAATAGGCTCTGTCAACTCAATTACCCTCACTCTCTTCCTTTGAACTCTCCAGTAGTTCATTTCCTGGGGTAATGGAACAGAATTTATGTTTTCAAGCCTTATCAGTTTACATACCTATACTCAGATAATGTGTGTGGATGGAAGATGCATTAAGTTAAAAGATTACAATGTGAACACTTGTAAAGCTTGATGTTTACAGTGGGGTGGGGTATTTTTTTTCAGTTTTAAAGTCATCCAAGCACAAAACCATATCTGAAACTCAGAGGTGGCCATCAGTTGAAGAAAGCTCTAGGGTCAGGCTACAAATGTCAAGTAAGCCAGGGCTCTAACTTCTTTTTGTTTGCTTTTTCAAAGATTGGAAAAAGTAGTTATAAGAAGCTTTTTTATCAGTTGGGGCAGAGGGTTGTTCATTCATGTAACTCAAATGCAGCAGCTCCTTCTCTGATTCTCTCTCTCTCCTGTTTGGAATCACAGAATGATCCCCAGGACAAGTAACACAACTGCATACATGAAGAAGCAACATTAGGAAAGTATTTTATGTAATTTTTTTTTTTGCTGTCCTTGCATGTGATTTATTAGTTGAAACATGTAAGAAAGCCAGCAAACAGTACTCTGCAAAACACCAGTTCAGGAACTTTTTTCAGTAATTAAACCATCTAATTAAAAACTTAAAGCAGCTATAGCCAACTGTGACCTTCATTTTCTTTTTTCATGGCAGGAAGTTGCAGAACCACTTCTAGACCTGAAGGAAGGAATGGACCAACTGGAGCACAATAAAACTTTGGGATTTATCCTTTCTACCCTGCTAGCCATTGGGAACTTTCTGAATGGAACCAACGTAAGCTTGATGTCCCAGCATTTCCCCTGCAGATTTTTCCTTCAAAGAGAAATCAAAACCATTATGACAGTTGCAACCTGTATTTATTTTGTACCGGGAAAGTAATTTAGAGAACAGAATCTACTTTGTCTTTATACTGTATTTCAGGGTGCTCTTTGCCTCTTTCAGCATAATCTGAAGGAAATGTGGAGCTAGGCACTCTTCTGGTGTAAATCCCTTGAGTTTAGTGTTGATGCTCCTCATTCAGATTGTGAGAACTGTGTCATAAACCATTTCACTGCAGATGGACTGATTTTAGGCCTGTTCTTCAGCAAGTTAAAAATAAATAAAAACAATTCGTTTCTTATCCTGTAGGATTTCTAGTACTATTCTTTACCCTCTGCCCCTACCTGGCAATCATTTTTGTCTACTAATCTGCATGGGAAGGAGTAAACTTTTTTTAATAACTTCTTCCCCTTTTTTGCCCCCTTATAGGCCAAAGCTTTTGAGTTGAGCTACCTCGAGAAGGTTCCAGAAGTCAAGGACACAGTGCACAAGCAGTCCCTCCTGCACCACGTGTGCACTATGGTGGTGGAAAAGTTCCCAGACAGCACTGATCTTTATTCAGAGATCGGGGCCATCACTAGGTCAGCCAAGGTATGTCTAGTGGGTAAATATATATTGGGGGGGGGAAGACAAACCCAAGAGTTTAGAGTGAAATATTTAAGATTTTATTTTATTCTTAGATTTTGTTCCTTCCTGGTCACAGCACTTTTTATGAACGCAGATTCATTGTGTCATTCCCGCTGAATTTCAAAGATGCCACTACTCTCTTCAGAGCTTTATTTCTGCCTGTCAGGTGGTTTCCTCAGCAGTGCACTAATAGGTAGCCACGTTATGACAGCCATTTGAGTGCTACATATGTTATTAATGTCTATAACTATTAGGAACTATTTTCAGGTTGAAACTTCATTTGACCAGTATCTTCAAATATATTTATTCTGTGGTTTGGGGGAATCTCTTTTTTAAGGCAGATGCCTAATTGCATGTTAAGGGTAATGGAAGGAATGAACTTTTTTTGGTAATAAAATTGTTTCCAGAATGAAAGTGTCCTAGAAATATTTTGTTTAACTCCTTTTCTGTTCTCCTCCTGATAATAATTTTGATGATTCGGAGTTAAGATAAATAGAAATAAAGGAAACTTGTGGCTGCACTTCTTTTTTAAAAGTGGTCATCCCTTGGCTAATGCCTAGGTCTGGTCAGTGGCTCAATATGGTACGCAGATTATTAATCACTGCTGCTAGCAAGCATCATAGAAACACTGTAACCTCACTCCTGGAGCGCACAGAGTGTGAGATTTTATGGATGACCCTTAAAAACAGTATTTTACTTGATTAATGGAGTAAATATGACAGAATATCATCAGGAGAGAATAAACATGGAAATTCTGGTTTGGAATCATGTCTCATGTGAAAATGGAAATAATTACAGCTGATAATATTGGTATCCATCTAGCCCAGTGTCTTGATTCAGACAGTGGCCAATACCAGCTGCTTTAACAGAGCGTACAGGAAACTTCAAACGCGGAGGAAGATCGCCCCTAGGAAAAAATCTATTTCATAAGCCGTAATACTCATTATAAGTATTAAATGGAGGAATGATTTCTTTTCCAAAAGCCACCTTGATTTGAATATGGTTGGGACCCTGTATAATCGAATTTTTTTAAAACTGAAAAAATCAAATCTTATTTTGGCTCCTAGCGCAGTTCTTGTGACAATGAATTCATAATCTAATTTTGTCTGCTGTTGAATTTGCTAACTTCAGGATTTACTGTCTGAATATACTGAACTGTTGAAACTTTTTTTAATCTCTATTTTATAGAAAACTTATCTTGGAAAGGACCTCTGAAGGTCATCTGGTCCATTGCTCTTTTCAGTGCAAGACCAAATTAAACCTGGCTGCTCAGATCCTTGTCTAATTTTCAAATAATCCTTGTATATCTTTTTCTTTTGGACAATTTCCACACTTTTCCTCCATAGTACCTTTTAGAATGGGTAAAAGGCTGCAAAGGCAGATTCCAGCCAGATTCCTCTCCTTATAAATGTTATATGCTAACATATGCTAACAAAAACATATGTTATATGCCCTTCTGTTCTGCTTGTGCTATCTTTTGTTAGATGTCCTGAGGTTTTCTTTGTGGTTTTTACTGTTGCAATCCTTTTGACACCAGTTGTCATTGGGCAGTTCACAAGGACATCCAGGCAGTCTCCTGAGCCTTAAGGGCAATTCAGAACTCAGCCCGATGAACAAAGGGGTCCGATACTGTCTGCGGTGTGCACTTCATTGCCATCTGCAGTAATGACCATGATCTGCTGAAGCAGATTTACTGCTTATCTCTCAAACCCCTAATAATCTTAAATCAGGGCTAATCTGAGTAGTTTCTTGCCATCTGTAGATATTACCCTCTCGGTGTGCTTCCTTGTTTCCAGACAATTTTAAAATACAAAGTACCATCAGACACCTGCTGTTAACCCTGTCATCAGATGGGAGTCAATATGTATTCTTTCTTTTCCACCTCATAGGTGGCCTCTCATGAGGCTCTCGTAAAGATTTTGAAAGTCTCCTTTTCTTTACTTGCTCTTATCTGTCCGCTATTCTATAAACACATTTAGAATCTAACAATCATTTTGATGTATTTAGTTTCCTGTTATTCATTTTTTCAGGCAGGTGACCAGGTATAGTAATAAAGCTTGGATCTCTACAGTCTCCTGAATCAGCCTTGCTGCTTTTGTAGATAGTTGAAATTTTTGTTGTCCTCTGGTTCTTTCTGTTACTAAGTGTGGTGAAAGCATAACCATTTTAGCCAGTGGCTCAATTTCTTTATTTTAATTGCTGTCAGAATTCTTGTTTCTGCTTGTTTACTGCTTTGTACGATATCATCATCCTCCAAGACATTTGTTTCCGCTAGCAAGTATTTGAACCTTGACATTAATTCAGACCTATTAAAAAAATAAAATAGAGAAAAATATAATTAGGTACCAGAATACATTTCTTCCCAACATCCTCTGTGGTGAAGTTGAATGAGAAGAAGTAAACTTGCTTCCTTTCCCTAGCTTTTGCCTTCCTCAGTTTCTTTCCTCCCCAGTGAGCCAGGACATATTGGACATATCTTCCTACATATTTTCTTTTCTTCTTTTTTTTTTTTTCTTTTTTGGATACCATAAAGGAATTTGTGGCTTTTGTTTTATAACCTTAGATACTTGCTCTTTGGATTCCATCTCTGTTCTCCTAATTTTCCTCTTGTACAGCCTACGTTTAGGCTCTATTTTATTGCCTTCACTGAGGTTGGTTTTTCATGTTTGGAAGGTTTTAATTTTTTTTTGGTTTTGGTTTTTGTTTGTTTTTTTTTCTTGAGCGATTCTTCATCTTTTAACATTTAGGTATGTTGGTTTCTCATTTCCTGCTTCTTCTCTTTGTTAAGAAGCTATTTCTTTTTTTTTTTTTTTTTTTTAGATTGGGACCAAGTTAATCACTAAAATGAAAATTACCATAAAAGAGAAGAGACCTTGTTTTCTAAAATCCATCCCACCATGTGTGGTGTACTCAATCTCTTGGTTTTCAGCCTTATAAAGTGGAAGAAAGCTTAACCTAATGCTGTCACTTATAAAAAATTTTTAGGTCTAAGAGCAAACAAAATTGAGCACAGTCTTTAAGCCTGTGGTTTGCTGATCTAGTGGCCCTGCCCAAAGCGGATGAAATTCTGAAAAGGCCAGACAAAATCACATTAAGAGAAATTATAGCCTTAACCTTCCCTGTGACGCCCAAGGTCTCCCTCCTTGGGATGTTCCTGCATGTGTTATGCCACTGATGGATTACTGTAACAAGCTCTATTCCCACTTGATTTTAGCTGCCACAAATCAAGGAATTAGGACATGGAAGCCATCCAAGCTGCCCTCTTCAAGGGAATGTTCACAGACGAGGCAAAATCTTGGTTTAGGAAAGCTGACGGGAAAGGAGAACTAATATTTCACTGTGGATTAGTCTGTATTTGGAACTCCATTTTGTCTGCAAACATCTTTCAGAAACCACAAAGGCTAAACAATTGCCATCCTGTAGATAAACAGAGATGCCCCTTCCCCTGAGATGCACATCATATGAGAATTTTCTGAGCCACAGTTCATGAAAAAAAAATGTAAAGAAAACAGGCTGCTTCACCAGAAAGTAGTTAGAAAGTCCAGAAACAAAGTGGTGTAGTTATTGCAAAACTTGTGGCTTTTTGTTGAAGGACTGAAGTCATACATGGCAAAATAAACCCCAGACACAAGTGAAAAAATGACCAAAAAGTAGAATTCTAGATAAATAAAAGTATTCATAGCTGTATCAAAATAGATAAGGTCATGCAGGGCACTGATTGTTTAGTATCACATGATTAAGAGCACTTGCCTTTTATATTTTAAACACGTTTTAAGTTGCTTTTTTTCAGTGGAGTTGTACCAAAACTGATGTACCTAATATGGAAGCAGACCCCCAGATTTCTGCAGTTAAACTCAGTATTGTTCCTAGAAGTTTCCTTACCAGTACAGCAAGGAGGGGTTGCATCAGCACTAGTATCTTCTCTGTCCGTGAACAGAGACCTGTATTTTTATTAAAAATATTCATCATCTCTCTCAACCACATGCATCTGAAAGCTGGTAATTGTCCTTTTCTCCCCCTAATTTTAATTTACTTATGAGATGCCAAACTTCTGGCTGGTTTTGAACCCCTGCAGCTAGATGCTCAGGTGAGTTGTGGGTAGTAGGGGATGGAGAAGCGGGCAGCTTTTAGAAGTAAGCAATAGGAAATGTTAACAACGCAGGGGAGGGGGCAAGGGTTGCTGGTAGGGTAGAACCAGGGGCAAGACTGAGTCATTGACGGGGAGAAGGAAGCCTGCAGCTGCCCTGCCAGGGACTTGGTAGGGCAGCATGGGGAGGAAGGAGGAGACTGAAACAGTAGTGCCGTTCTGGCATGCTGTAGCTTCTGCATGATATGCTGGGAATGAGAGAAAGGAGGAAAGAAAAAACAGTAGGGAAGATCACGCTGCCTCCTGCACTGCTTCAGTGGGGTTTCTCTTGTCTCGCTTGACAGGAAGTATTTGTGGGCAATTATCCTTCGAGTATGCATTCCCTATGTTATATCAAACAAAAATAAATGCCAAAAGTCCAAGTATTTTCCATGGAAAAAAGGGGTTGGGGGACACAGGGTTTCCCAGGGTTGTCTCGTTACTTGTGATGCCAGCAGCGAGGACTGCTGCAGCTGCCCCAGGTCCTGGCGCGGGCGAGCGGCAGCGAAGGTGAGGGCAGAGCAGGATGAGGCTGGTTGTAGGGCAGGCTGGGCGAGGGGGAAGGAGCTTCAGTGGCAAATGAGGCTTCGAGGTTCTGTCTGGAAGAGGGGAAATGAAGTTTAGCACATGTGTGTGAAAGCAGCATGGTGTTGCAATAGCGTTCCAGGTGAAATGCCTGCAAGTAGTGCCGCAGGTGCTGTAACATCAGCTGAAGGGGACCTACGTCACCGCCTACTGACATTGCCCCTCTTCCTCCCAGAGAGTGGGAATTGCCATATAGCATCTGCAAAAAGATCCTGTATCAGTGTGTTTGTTGCAGAATGAGGAACTAAAATGC